GAAACCAAGCACGGTGGTACACGTCTATAATCCTAGTACTCAGGAGGCAGTGGCATCATGAGTTCAAAGATATTTTAGTTCACGGCCAGCCTGGACTACAGGAGACCCTGACTCAAAACAACAACAAAAAGAAGTGTAAAAGGAAATGGCCATAGGAGTAGCCTGGTGGAATCCTTTCTTCTTTGTTTTAAAAAAGTGTATTTTAGCAGTTGGTGGTGGTGCATGCCTTTGATCCCAGCACTCAGGAGGCAGAGACAAGTGGATCTCTGAATGAGAGGACAGCCTGGTCTACAGAGTGAGTTTCAAGACAGCCAAGGTAACACAGAGAAACCCTATCTCCAAAAAACAAAACAAAAACAAAAACAAACAAACAAAAAAGTGTATTTTAGGGGCTGGAGCAATGACTCCGTGGTTAAGAGAACTTGTTGCAAACTCAATGAAACAAACCACATGATAATCTCATTAGATTCTGAAAAAAAGCCTTTGAGGAAAATCCAACTCTCCTTCACGATAAAAGTCTTGGAGAGATCGGGGATACAATGAATATACCTAAATATAATAAAAGCAATATGCAACAAGCTGACAGGGAACATTAAATTAATTATAAGACAGCAATTCCACTAAAATTAGAGACAAGGAAAGTCCGTCAACTCTCTCCATATCTATTCAAGTTGAAGTTCTAGCTGGAGCAATAGGACAACAAGAGGAGATCGAGAGGACACAAACTGGAAAGAAAGAGTCAAAGCATTGCTGTTAGCTGATGACATGATAGTATACATAAGCAACCCCCAAAAATGCACCAGGAAACTCCTGCAGCTAACCCTTTTAGTGAAGTGGCTGGATACAAGATTAACTTAAAAAAAAATCAGTAGCCCTCCTATATACAAACAATAAACAGGTTGAGAAAGAAATCAGAGAAACAACACCCTTTACAAGAACCACAAAGAATATAAAGTATCTTGGGATAACTCTAACCAAGCAAATGAAACGCCTGTATGACAAGAACTTCAAGTCTTTTTAGAAAGAAATTGAGGATATCAGAAGATGAAAAGATCTCCCATGTTCATGGATTGGTAGAATTAACATAGGAAAAATAGCAATCTTACCAAAAGTAATCTACAGCATCAATGTAATCCCCATCAAAATTCCAACACAATTTTTTACAGACCCTGAAAGAATAATACTCAACTTCATATGAAAACAACAACAACAACAACAAAACCCAGAATAGCTACAACAATCTTGTACAATAAAAAACTTCTTGAAGTATCACCATCCCTGACTTCAAGCTCTACTACAGAGCTATAGTAATAACAACATGGTATTGGCATAAAAACAGACAGGTGGATCAACAGAAATGAATCAAAGACCCAGACATAAATTTGCACACCTATGGACACCTGAGTTTTGACAAAGAAGCCAAAATTATACAATAGAAAAAAAGAAAGCATCTTCAACAAATGGTGCTGGCATAACTGGATGTAGGCATGGAGAAGAATGCACATAGATCCATATCTATCACCATGTACAAACTCAAGTCCAAGTGCATCAAAGACCTCAACACAAACCCAGTTACACTGAACCTGAGAGAAAAGTGGGAATAATAGCCCGATCACACTGGCACAGGAGACAACATTTTTTTTTTTAAACATATTAATTCCAGTTCCCTTTCCCTCTTCTCCCGCTCCCCAATCCCTTTTCAGGAGACAACTTCTTTACTAGAACACTAGCACATATGCTAAGACTAATAATTAATAAATGGGATCTCATGAAATTAAAAAGGATTCTGTAAGGCAAAGGACACTTTCAATATAACAAAATGGCAGCCTACACAATGGGAAAAGATCTTCACCATCCTCATATCCAACAGAGGGCTGATTTCCAAAATACATAAAAAACTCAAGAAACTAGACATCAAAAAACCAAATAATCTAATTAAAAAACGGGATACAGATCTAAATAGAGAATTCTTAACAAGAATCTCAAATCTCCAAAAAAAAAAAAAAAAAACAGAGAAACACTTAAAAGACATGTTCAACAACCTTAGCCATCAGGGAAACACAAATCAAAATGACGATGAGATTCTTGTACCTGTCTGAATGGCTAAGATCTAAAACACAAATGACAGCTTATGCTGGAGAGGATGTGGAGCAAGGAGAGCACTCAACCACTGCAAGTGGGAATGCAAACTTTGGAAATCAGTATGATGGTTTCTCAGAAAATTGGAAATCACTCTACCTCAAGACCCAGAGACACTACTCTTGGGCCTATACCCAAAGGATGCTCAATCATATCACAAGGACACTTGCTCAACTATGTTCATACAGCTTTATTTGTGATAGCCAAAACTTGGAAACAACTTATATGTTCCTCTACTGAAGAATGGATAAAGAAAATGTGGTACATTTACATAATGGAGTACTACTCAGTGTTAAAAAAAAAAACCACAATGACATCATGAGATTTGAAGGTAACTGAATTGAAGTAAAAAAAAAATCATCTTTAGTGAGTTAACCCAGACCCAGAAAAACACTCACTTATAAGTGAATATTAGCTGTAAAATAAGGATAACCATGCTATAATCCACAGACCCAGAAAGGCTAGGTAACAAGGAGGACTCATGGGTGGATGCATGGATCTCCCAGGGAAAGAGAAATAGAAGAGATCTCATGGTGGACTGGGGGTGGGAAGGGATGGAAACATGGGATTGGGTTGAGGGAGTGGCTGGAGGGGGAGAGAGAGAAATCTGGTGCCAGGAAAACTTCCAGGAATCTACAAGGATGACCCAGCTTAGACTGTTAGCAATAGTGGGGACACACCCTGAACTGGCCATTTTATGACCCTAGCTAAGACTCCTAGCAACAGTTGGATACGTAGCCTGAACTGGTCATCTTCTGCGACCAGGTTGGCGACTACCTTAATTGTCATCAGAGAGCCTTCATCCAGTAACTGTTGGAGCATTAGGCCAAGCTGGAAGACTGTACAAGCCGGGGGGGGGGGGGGGAGAGTAAAAGACATCACAAGAAACCTCACAGAATCAACTTTCTGAACAGAAACAGAGGAGAAGCAGATTGGTGGGGGAGGGGAGGAGTGGGAATGCAATGGGAGGAAAGAGGGTAGGGAAAACAGGATGTAAAATAAATCTAATTTCAAAAAAAAAAAAAAAAAAGAGTACTTGTTGCTTTTGCAGAGGGCCCAGGTTCAAGTTTTACTATCCAAATGGCAATTCACAACTGCCTGTAACTTATTTTCAGGGAATCTGATGATCCTTCTGAGCTCCGTGGGCCCAGGCACAGATGAGGTACACACATATGCATGAGACAAAGCATTCAAATTAATAAAATAAAAAACCTTAAAGTTTATGTCTGTGATGACACAAAACTTAAGCAAATGATTTTTGACTTTCTTGATATTTGTCTCTGGCAAAGGGGGCTACCCTGTAGCTTTTTTTCCCGCCTATGAAAACCAGCAACTGTTACCAATATTTATAGTGTTTACTATGCAGGGCTATGAAATGCCTGGAGGGGGAACTGGGGGGGAAGAGGGAAACAGTGTCTTTGTTGGTGTCCTTTCCTGTGCACCCCTCCTTACACTGGGAGACACATCCTTCACTATCTCTTAGAGCTCACTTCTCAACATTCTCTGTGTTCCAACTCTATAGAGACACTGGCTGTTTCCTAAATCAGTGGTTCTCAGCCTTCCTAATGTTGCAACCCTTTAAGACAGTTCCTCATGTTGTGGTGACCCCCAACCATAAAATTATTTCTGTTATTACTTCATAACTATATATTTTTTTACTATTATGAATCGTAATGTAAATATCTCTGATTTTGGAGTTAGAGGTTTGCCAAAGGGGTCACAACCCACAGGTTGAGAACTCCTGTCCTAAATGTTGCCCTTGGTAGATTCAGACCACGTCTGAGCTGCTCCCTCTGCTTACACTGTCACCTCCTCCTCCTTCTCAACAGACCACTTCAGATGTTCCTTAAAACACTGGTTCAGGGGTTGGAAATTGTAGCTCAGGTGGTAGAGCCCTTGCCTAGTATTCATGAATTCCTGGGTTCCATCCCTGCAGGGCATAACTAGGCATGATAGTACATTCTCATAAATCCCACCACTTGGGAGGCAGGAGGATCAGAAGTTGAAGGTTATGGGCTGAAGAGATGGCTCCAAGGTTAAGAATAGGTACTGCTCTTACAGAGAGTATGAGTTTGGTTCAGGTGACTCAATTGATCTCACACCTTTTCTGGTTTCCAATGCATCTGCATTCAAGGGTACATACCAACCGACAGACATACACACATGTACATAATTTATATAAATAAACAAAAGTTTAATGTTCTCAGTTACACAGCAAGCAAGGTCAGAATGAGCTATGTAGATCCTGTTTGAAAACATCTAAGTATCTCCTCCTATAATTTGTCTTACAGACCCGCTTTTGATTGGCATGCTTTTACCATCTACTGTATCTTTTAACACAGTTTCGATTATTATTGTTCATTTGAGAGAGTCTCACTAGCCCCATATCTGGCCTGGAACTATCTATATAAACCAGGCTACCTTCGAACTCATGGAAATTTGCCTGCCTCTGCTTCTCTAGTGCTGGGACTAAAGGTGAGCGCCACCACGCTGGTCCACTTTTTGTTTCTTACTCCTAACTCTTAGCTACACAGTACTTGAGCCATTAACACCCATAGTTAATAGTTCCATTCCTGAATGAAATGGCTTGCGTGGTTCTAGAGAGACAGACCACAACTGTATTCTGGGATAGCGAGGGCCCGATGCCACAGGTAGATTAGAGAGGTGAAACAAGATACCTAAATATCACCTATTCCAGAAAACATCTACAGATGCTCAGCTAGCGGCCCGCCCTTTCCCCAGCTCGGCAGCACAGCGCGCCGTGGAGAGTGTCGCTCCATATCCACGGTGGCCGGTGGCCCTGGACGTCGGGTGACCTCCCTTAGTGATGCGCGGCCCTCCTACCGCCCTGCGGTTCTCACCTCTGTCCCGGATTCGGCTTTGAGAAAGTCGCTACACATCGCCCCGTCAGCTCCTAAGGCTCAACTTTGCCGCCAGCAACGCCATTTGTCAATAGCCAGTCAGACCAGCGAGCCCCGTACGCGCGTGCGCTCTGTGAGGGCGGGAGGGCGGGGCTCGAGCGTGCGCAATAAAGCTGCGCCGCCCTCTCGGTGACGGAAGTCTCATGCACGTCCTCTTTCTCTTCGGGCTCCTTGGAAACCTGGAATCTGTTCTTACGGTTTTTTTTTTTTCTGTTATTAATCTCGACCCGTCTTTATTAGGCATATTTAACAGCATGCACTTGATTTTTAAGTTGTGTTTTGGTTGTGAATCCATGGTTGTCCAGAAGCTTGCTCTGTAGACAAGATGGCCACAAACTCAGACCCGCTTGCCTCTGCCTCCCGAGTGCTGGGATTAGGATTAAAGCTGGGCGTCACCACTCCCGGGGCCTACTTGTTTTTAAAATACTATTAAAGTAAATTTTCCAGTCATGATGGTGTACGCCTGTGGTGTTAGCACTGGGGATCATCTAGAGTTCAAGGTTAGTCTGGGCTTTGAGATCGTGTCTCAAAAAACAACAGCAAACAATTAGGACAAAAGTTTATTGATTTGGGCTGTTGGTGCGCCAGTGGTCCCAACAACTCGTGAGGACATGGGATGGTCGCTTGAGCCCAGGAGACCAACCTGGGCTGCACAGAGGACCCATACTAAAAAGAAAATAGCTACTGAGCAAGCAAGCTCTTTTGTCTGTTCTTGAGGCACAAGCCTCTGGCTGGGTGTGTTATTTATAGGTAATTGAGGGGGAGGGGACAGAAATGTCTGTTGACAAGAACTGTTCAAATGTACTGAGCCTGTGAATGTATCAAGCTCTTGGTTCGATTAGTTTCTTTGTTTTTTTCTAAATAAATAAATAAATAAAAATACTAGAAATAAGGGCCAGCACCGCGCCTGTATGTGGTTCTGGATATCAATACCTTTAGTGCATGCTAGTTAAGCATTCTTAAGCATTCTTCAATTGAACTGTATTTCTTGGCCCATTTTGTTAAGCTCTTGAGCCGAGTAGGGAGTAGAGAGTAGAATAATTTTAGCACTATTGAATGTCAAATGCCCACTGACTAAATACATATAGAATGTTTATACTTGGTATATCTACAAACACACATCTAATATACACAGTACACACTAACGTAATGAATGTACAAGACAGACTATTTTCCACATATCAGGTCTGTGCTAGGAATACGTCACAGGAGAGAGGCCTGAATGGAGTTTACAACCTATTAGGTCAGTTATTGGAACTCTCCTGAAAATTCACTTTCCACCAGACGTGTAGGTTGTTTCCTTGTGAAAAAGTGTGATGTTGTGTCTGTCTCTTGTCATATCTTGAAGCTGTGTAATTAAGAGCTAATCCTCTGTGCTGGCTAGTTTTATGTCAACTTGACACAAACTAGAGTTATCTTAAAGGGAGGAACCTAAATTGAGAAAATGCCTTCATAAGATCTGATTGTTGACCATTTCTTAATTAGCAATTGAAAGGGGAAGGCCCAGTCCACTGTGGGTGGTACCATTGGGCCGGTGTGTATATGTCTGTACTACTACATGTACTATGGTCCTGTAGAGCCTGTACTACATGTACTACGGTACAACACCTTTAGCTTACCACCTTCACTAGGGGACCACTTGCCAGCCAGGCAAGGGGCCTGGAGTTGACACACACAAACACACAGAGACAGAGACATGGATCATCTTTGAATTCCCCAAGAATGCCCCCTTTATTGTGTTCAGGGGCAGCTTATATAGTGCTCTGGCCATGCCCCAGCTTCAGGCCAACCAGAATCCACTCCCCTGCCATCAGGGTCTCGTGCTCAGAGCAGAGGAAAACAAGTTGTTTACAGGAAATTCAGGGTCCGGTGGTCCATAGTCCCCAACACCGGTGGTTCTGGATTGTATAAGAAAGCAGGTTGAGCAAGCCATGATGAGCAAGTCAGTAAGTAGCACCCTCCATGGCCTCTGCATCATCTCCTGCCTCCAAGTTCCTGCCCTGCTTGAGTCCCTGCCCTCGCTGCTTTTGGTGGTGAACTGTTACCTGGAACTGTGAGTGACTTAAATCCCTTTCCTCCCAGGTTGCCTTTGGTCGTGGTGTTACACGTGTTAGGGATTACAGCAACAAGTAATCCCTAAGACGCCAGAGTGCTTTGTAAATGCCAGCCACTGCTCTGAGTGCCTTAGAGCCCCTCCCTGATCCATCTGCTCCTCATTCCTGTGCAGCAAGTGCTGTTATCATGCACATGCAATAAATGACGGCACTGATCGCAGTTTAGCCCAGGTTACTTTATGATGACGCTGTAATGGGTTGCCAGACTGATGCTAAGCAGGAAGAGAATACCACATGTACAAACTGAAGGGCCTCTAGTCAGCCCAAGCATGGCAAACATGACTCTGGGAGGATTTGTCCTTCTCCCTCATTTCCTCTGCCTCGCTGAAAACTGGGAGATTAAATTCCTAAAGTTAGCCACCAAGGCCTATTCCCTTATTTGGCCACTTCTTCCTGAGACTGACTACCAAGGTCCATCTATCAAAGTATTGAAATCCAGAAATGAAAAGCTCACTTCGACTCACCTAATCAACATGCCCAATTAAAATTGAACACCTCATCTTAACATGGATTTCCCTATGTATAAATTGCCATTTACCTATGGGTCACATCTGTCTCTTCTCTATTAAGAGGCAATCCTTCTCCCCGCCCCCCAAATATCCCTGCACTCTCTTCCTTATTCCCTTCCCTTTCTCCCTTGTCCCCTGTATTCTGTCTTTCTGTCTTATTCCCTGCCATTTGTCTCTCTGGGGTAAATAAATCTCCTTTGTGCTGAGAAGTTTGTCTTGGGTGTCCTGAGATGATCCTCTCACGAATAACACCTTAAAAGACCTCAGTGTGGGGCTGGAGAGATGGCTCAGAGGTTAAGAGTATTGCCTGCTCTTCCAAAGGTCCTGAGTTCAATTCCCAGCAACCACATGGTGGCTCACAGCCATCTGTGATGGGGTCTGGTGCCCTCTTCTGGCCTGCAGGCATACACACAGACAGAATATTCTGTACAATATATACAGAATATTGTATACATAATAAATAAATAAATATTTAAAAAAAATATTTAAAAAAAAGACCTCAGTGTGCTGTGGTGGCACCCCTTTATTCCAGCACTCAGGAGGCAGAGGCAGATGGATCTCTGTTGAGTTTGAGGCCAGCGTGGTCTACAGAGTGTTTCAGGACAGCCTATTACACAGAGAAACCCCGACTCAACCCCCTGCAAAAGGCTTGATATGAAGGAAAGATAATTTTTAATATACATAAGATCTGGAGAGGTATAATGTGGGATTCCCCTCTGTATGCTGTAAGTACCTTTGATTAATAAAGGAACTGCTTTAGGCCTATAGCAGAGCTGTAGGGGAACAGAGCTAGGAGGGGAAAACTAAACTGAATGCTGGGAGAAAGGAGGCAGAGTCAGAGAGCAGCCACATAGCCCCGCTGGAGCCAGATGGTACTTAAGCTTCGTAAGCCACAGCCATGTGGCGATACACAGATTAATAAAAATGGGTTAAATTATATGTAAGAGTTAGCCAATAAGAAGTTAAAGCTAATGAGCCAAGCAGTGATTTAATTAATATAGTTTCTGTGTGATTATTTCAGTTTTGGGCAGCCAGGACAAACAAGCAGCCCCCTCCAAGAGAGGTGTGTGTGTGTGTGTGTGTGTATACATTGTAGTCTAATACCTGATAGCACATACCTGTAATCACAGTATTTGAGGCAAAACAAACAAAAAACCCAGAAAACATCCTACCAGATACTTGCTAAAAAAGTTTTTTTTTTTTTTTTAAGTGGCCGATGAGATTGTTGAGTGGTGAGAGCACTTGTTGCTGAGGCTGATGACATGAGGAGTTCAGTCCCAGGACTCACATGGTGAAAGGAGAGAATCAATTCCATAAATTGTCCCCTGATTTCCACATGCATGCCTACATACATACACAAGCATACAAATATATGTAAATATAACTTTAGAAAGAAGGGAGGGAAGAGGGAAAGTGAGGTAAAGGAGAAAGAAAGAAAGAAAGAAAGAAAGAAAGAAAGAAAGAAAGAAAGAGAAAAAGAAAGGAAAGAAAGGACTACTCTCTTTAAAAAAAATCTTAAATCTTATTTGTATGAATGTTTCCCTTTGTATATGTCTGTACCACATGTGTGTCTGGTGTGCACAGAGGCCAGAAAAGGATCCCCTGGAGCTAGAGCTAGAGATGGTTATAAGCCACCATGTGGGTGGTGGGAACTGAACCCATCTGGAAGAGCAACACGTAGTCTTAACCACTGAGCCATCTTCCCAGACCCAAAAGACCATTCTAGTATGCAGAGGAGGGAGTTAAGGAAGACCTCGAGTGTCAGGCTAGTGGCGTAGATGGCAGAAGATGTTTCACTGAACTCCTACTGCACTGTCAGTGGTACCATTTCGTAGTCACCGTACTGCCCCATTGCACAGCCTTTCTCCTCTCTCAAGCTGGTATAAGTACACTGGTGTTTATTATTCTACATCCCTATGTGTTCCCAGACTAAGTGATGTGTGACTGTGGTAGCTCTGGCCATCAACATCAAGATGACAAATCAACTTCTGGGTTAGAAAGCCCAGATTCATATTTTTCATCCCTCTGTCCTTCCATTTTCATTACAAGCCCATGGGACAGCATAGGCTTGTGGTTTTCACAGGCAATACTAAAGCTGCTCCATAAGTAAATCACGGAGAGCTTGGTTGCAAGTTACAGAAGATGCTGCTTCTATTTATTTTTAACAATAAATGGGACAGGAGATGGCTTAGCAGTTAAGAACACTGTTTGATCTTCCGGAGAACCTGGCTTCCATTCCCAGTACCTACATGAAAGCTCACAACTGCAAGTCCAGTTCCAGAGGACCTAACATCCTCTTCTGGGTTCTGTGAGCACCTGCACATGGTGCACAGACATACAACGAGGGCGAAACACCCCCTCCCACCATGTGGTTGCTGGGAATTGAACTCAGAACCTTTGGAAGACCAGACCATGCTCTTAACCGCTGAGCCATATCTCCAGCCCCCAAACACCCACACACATAAAAATAATTCTTAATCGGAAACAATGGGACTTGCTGAGTCATGTAGAAGGAAGTCCAGAAATAAGACGGTCTTCGAGTTAGTTAATGAGAAGCTCAGCTAGACAAATAGTGCTGTGTAGCAAGATCTGACTCAGAAAACAAAGCAAGATGGAAGTAATCACAGAATACAGACTTGTAAAAGGCCTTTGACCCTTTGAATCATCTGGAAGCAAGTCAACAAGTTAGGAGGCCAAGGGCTCAGCAGTGAGGTAGACAGAAGTTCTGTTTGTTTGGTTTTGAGACAGGGTCTTACACTGTAACCTGAGATGGTCCCAGACTTAAGATGATCCTGCTGTCATCGCCTCCTGAGAGCAGAAACTAGAGGCTTCTATGATCACACCCATCTAGATCTGAGTTCCTTTCAGTGATGAAACTGTGAGAGCTGAGCCTTTCTGAGCTATAGTATTGTCTCAAAATGTGGGTTTTATAAACCATAAAAGCAAGGCATTGAGGTGGCTTAGGGAGAAACACAACGGCAGTGTAAGCCCGAAGGCCTGGGTTCAATCCACAAAAACCATATAAAGATGGAAGGAGAGAACCAAATGCACAAAGTACAGCAATGTACACACATCACACACAGAATACTACACAGGTATGACTACCCTGCAGCAAGGGTTATCTGGAGACAAGAAGAAGAGCATCCGAAACATGGTTCACTTTCAAAATGGGTGGCTGCAACCTAGTCCAAAGGCCTCAGTTCACAGAGGAGACAGTATTTCACAGAGGAGAAACTAAGGCCACATTAGGTACTTTTCTATTGCTGTGGCAAAACACCATGACCAAGGAAACTTGTAGAAGAAAGAATTCACTTGGGTTCCTGACTCCAGAGGCCTACAGCAGTCCATGATGATCGAGCAAAGGCACAGCAGCAGGGGCAGGAAGCTGTGGCTGCACATCTGGAATATAAGTAAGACACAGAGAGAGCAAGCTGGGAATGAATTTTTTTTAATTTGTTTATTTTACTTTACATGTATAAATGTTTTGCCAGTGTGTATGTCTGTACACTGTGTGCGCGCCTGTTGGATCTCCTAGAACTGGGGTTGCAGATGTTTAGAGCCACATGTGGGTGGTGGGAACCACAGTGCTCTTAAGATGTCTTTGACCCTAAAACTCCACCTCCAGCACTGTACTTCTCCCAGAAGGGGCACATCTGCTCGACCTCCCCAGACGGTGCCACCTCACAGGAAACCAAGTGTTCATATACCAGAGCCTATGGAAGACATTTCCATCCAAACCACACACTTCGGTGTCTTACACGTTTGACACTTGGCCCAGGATCACAGAGGGAGAGGTGACCTGATAGCAAGTGTCCTAACTTTTGGTTCACTCCAGGACCAGCCTGTTCTCCTATATGGCATTACCCCTCTTGATCTGATTGCTTCGAACCTGACAGATGCAAAGCCCAACATTCACTGACATTTCAGGCAAAGCTTTTAGGTTGACCTTTCATTTCTTTCTGACGAATTTGAGCAAATTAATTTGGAATCATTTCATACTAATGCAAATATCTTTAGGAAAGATACCAAAAGTTGTTGGTGTATAATTTTTTTTATCGAAGATTTCCTTTCATAATTTTGTTGTTGTTGATGTTATTCGACACAGGGTTTCTCTGTGTGGTCCTGGTTTTCCTGGAACTCCCTCTGTACAGCAGGTTGGCCTCGAACAGAGATCCGCCTGCTTCTGCCTCCTGAGTGCTGGGATTAAAGGCATGTGCCACCACACTTGGTTTTTCCTGTCATAAAATTTAGAAAACACTGACAACATATTTAAATTTCACGCCTGGGTCTGGCAAATAAATCATCTGCTATAAAGGCACCTTCCACCAAGTCTGGCAGCCTGAGTTCAGTCCCCAGGTCCCACATGGTGGGAGGAGAGAAGTCTCCTGAAAGTTATCCTCTGACCACTGGTGCACTGTGGCTTGGGAGCACATCTCTCCCTCGCCCCCCCCCCCCCATATATATACAGGTAGACAAATACATTCAGCAGTGGAAAGAGAGAATTGATATCCAAAAGTTGTCATCTGACCTTCTCACACATGCACTCTTAGTTACTTTTCTATTATGACAAAAGAGAGCATTTATTTGGCTTACAAATTAGGGTTAGAGAGTCCATGATGGCAGAGCAGAGATATGGTGGCAGGGACAGTTGAGAGCTCACATCCTCTTCCTCAAGCAGGAGGCAGGGAACACACTGGGAATGACATGAGTAAAGTACAAAGCCCCCTCCCCAGTGACACATCTTCAACAAGGCCCTATTTCCTAATCTTCCAAACAGTTCCACCAACCGGTAACCAAGTATTCAAACAAGAGTCTATGGGGTCATTCTCATCAAACAATCTCTCTCTCTCTCTCTCTCTCTCTCTCTCACACACACACACACACACACACTACATAGTAGATCTTTGTACGTGAGAGAAAACAAGTTAAAAACAAATATAGAATGTGGTAAGGTGGCTCAGCTGGTGAAGGCACCTGCTGCCCGGCCTGAGGACGTGAGTTGATCCATTGAACCCATGTGGGAAAGAAGAGAAGCCACTCCTGCAAGGTGTCCTCTGACCCCCACGTGCATGCTACAGCTTGTCCATACAAACAATAAATAAATGTAAGTTGAAACTGTAAAGCCAAATGCCCATAAGTTGTTGATTGACTTGCTTACTAATTGTTGGTTGACTGTGATCGAGCACTCACTGTAGAAGATGGATTGATGCATGGAGCCAAAAAAGAGAAGCAGCATTGTTCTGTAAACAGAAAACTCATCAGGGCATGTTGCAGCCGTGCAGAACTGAGACCAGCAGCTGTGACCACACCCTTACGGTTCAGGATAAAGGGTACGGCTTCGTCAGAGCAAATGTCGAGTCAGAGGCAGAAGTAAGCACCACAGAGGTCAGAGGTCATCCTGGCAACCTCTGAAACTGATGGGCAAACTCACCAGTATCTGAACCTGAGCCCTCTCATGAGCAGCCAGCGTAGCTCTGCTTTTAATTGCAAGCTAAAATTGAAAGACAGAATTGAAGCTAGGTATAGTGGTACATGTCTGCAGCACCAGGCTTGGAAGGTAAAGGCAGGAGAGTTCATTCTTGGCTATATACTGTGCTGGAAGTGAGACCGTGTCTACAAAAACAAGACAAAAAACAAAACTCAAAACACTACAAAATACATAAACTACAGGACTAGTAGGCTGACTTGGTGGATGGGGTCCCTTTTCCTGAAGAACTGAATTTGATCTCTGAAATACACAAGGTAGTAGGAGAAACTCGATTCCTTCACATTGTCCTGGGGTGGAGGGTCCTGCTTTCTATTCTCCCCATGTGCACATCCATGTCCACACACACACACACACACACACACACACATTTTATATAAACATACTATATATATATATATCCCCACATACATAAATAAATAGATGAAGGTAATTTAAAACAAACAATACATATACACACATATGTCTTATTTGTAATTTATACATAATGAATATACATGTTATAGGGTACAGTGTAATGTGACAATAAATATACACAATGTGAAAAAAATATCAGACTGTAGGGTACACCTCTAATCCGAGCACTCATGAAGCAGAGGCAGGTAGATCTCTGAGTTCCGGGCCAGCTAGTGCTACATAGTGAGAGCCTGTCTCAAAAAAAAAAAATCCAAAACAACCAAACACAAACACCTCAATACACGCATAAACATGCCACATTGTCCCTGTTCTTACCTGGATGCTTGCACACAGCTGTAACTGGGCCTGAAGGTCGGTGAAGGACCCAGCACCCCCCGGAGCTATTGTCTCCTTTCCTATTTAACAGTGTACCAGGGACTCTCAGAATTGTGATTAGGGATTTTTTTGACATTATGATTTATGTATATAATAAAGATGAAAGCCAGTCTTGTGTGATTTATGGATTATACCAGAAAGTATGCAAGAGGAGCTCAGAGCATCTTCTGGTGAGAAAATGCAATTAAGTGCTGAAAAAAACCCCAAAACCAATAGCAACCAAAATTTCACACTGATGGAGGTTGGCACACAGGAGCCAGTTGGTGGCCCCAAGTCCCGGAGCTGGGATGATTTACCAGCAGACTGTGCTGGATTATGGCCCAAAGAGTAAGATAAATATACACAACATCATACTGAAAATGACAGAGTAAATGAATAATTGGGGGTGATAGGCAAATCTTCAATCAGAAGGCTCTCAGACAGCTCACGCTGATTCTCTGCTCTCAGCATGGAGAGCAGCTCCCTTCTGCTTCTGTGTGTGGCACACATCATGACTTCCTTCCAAAGGCTTCGCTGCAGGGTGAATGAAGAAGAAAGAGTAACATCACAGAAAAGAATCTGGTGTCTTAGTAACAATTTATTGATTAAAAAACCCCACAACGACTAAAGGCAGTTTAGAGAAGATAGGGTTTATGTTGACTTAAGGTAACAGACAGAAATCTGTTGGGGAAGACATTGCATGGAGGCAGGAGCAGGATGACCACGTTTTCATCCACCACGCAAGAAGCAGAGGGCACAGGAAGTGGAACAAGCTTGTTTTATTGACATACTTCCTCCAGCAAAGCCTTCCATCTCCCAAAGGTTCCACAGTGTCCTCAAACAGTGCCTCCAGAAGAGTTTAAACACATGAGCCCGTGGGGGGCGTGTTTCCCTAAACCACTGCACCTGAAGAGCGGTCCGTGTTCATCACCAGGTGGTACAGCAGTAAACCATGCCGATGCCTGGATCCTCGATAAGATGGGCTCCTCTTCCAAATCCATGTCTCCAATCTAATTGTGAGAAAAAGCTTCAGACAAATTCCAGGGAGGGGCCATCCTATAAAACACGTGGCGGTGTTATGAAAACTCTCTGTATAGAGAAATCCGGACTGGAATACTGCACTCCTATAACCCCAGCATTCTGAGGGCTGATATAGGAGGGCCACCGAGGATTCGAACCCACTCTAAGCTACAGTGCAAGTGCCAGGCCAGCCTGAGCCAAATCCATCTCAAAACAAGCAAACAAAAACAAGCCTACGAGGGCAGTCTGCATGTACCACAGGCAAGAGAAGACGGAGGAGCCCGCAACATGACTTGACATGATTCCCTGGGTATGAACCCTCAACACACACACAGACATTAGGAGAAAACCAAGGGAATCAGGATAAAGGATAGACTTGGCTAATAATGGTGAAGAAGCTATGCCAGGGCACACAGGGGCCTGACGCAGGAGCTCGGTCAGCTTGGGCTACATGGTAAGACTTTGTCTCAAGGAAAAAATATTAATATTTTTGTATTAAATGCCATAAATACGAAGAAGTTAATATATGGAACTGGGTGCCTGACATATGTGAATGCTTGGTGTGTTTTCTAAGTTTTTCTTTGAACATAATTTGTTTTAATTTTATTTGTTTTTTTAATTTGGGGGGCTCAAGACAGGGTTTCTCTGTACACAGAGGAAAGTATCTGGCTTTATTTTTAATTTTTAACCTTTATTTTTATTTTATATGTATGAGTGTTCTACCTTTATGTATATTGTGCACCGTGAGACCAGAGGAGGGTGTAGGATTAGCGCTACAGACATTTGTGAGCTGCCTTGCGAGTGCTGGGGACAGACCCAGGTTCTCTGCAGGAGCTGCAGTTACTCTTAACCACTGAGCCATCTCCTTAGTCCCATAAAATTGAGAGGTGGTGCTTTAATCCCAGCACTTGGGAGACAGAGGCAGGCGGATCTCAGTGAATTCGAGGCCACCCTGGTCTACACAGCTCGTTCTAGTACAGCCAGAGATGCAATACAGAGAAACACTGTTTTGAATGTCCCACAACCCCTCCCCCCAAAAAAAGGAAAAAAAATAAAGTCTATCAGAAAGTTCTGGGTTTAATTGAGATCCTAACTCAAACAATAAGGTAAAAGAATACTTGGGGATTGTTCTCAACATCAACCCTGGGCCTACACGTGCACTCAATCCCCTGTGTGTGCCTGCATACATGCTAACATGTACACACACATGTAGATCACACTCACATGAAAAATAAGGTCTGTTAGAATGTATTCACATAAGCAGTACTATAATTCCAGCGTTAGGGATGCAGAGGTAGAAAGAGTTAGGCTATCCACAGTTACATAGCAAGTTGAAGGTCAGCCTGTGCTACACGATACCCTGTTTTGAAATGCCAAAAATAAAAACTAAGAATCTGGGTGTGGTGACACTCACCTGTTATCCCAGAACATGAGAGGCACTAAGAAGAGGATCAGTAGTTCCAGGTCATCCTTGGAGGCACAGTGATTTTGTGGCCATCCTGAGCAACAGGAAATGCTGTCTGAAAAAAATGAAACCTGATCCAGTGCTTAAGACTGAATACTGCTTTTACAGTACTGAGCTCAGTTCTCAGCACCCACACGGGCAGCTCATAACTGCCTGTAACTCCAGCTTCATTTATTAAAATAAAAAAATGAAGCTCTAAAAACACCCACTGAGATCCGGGCCGTGGTGGCGCACGCCTTTAATCTCAGCACTCGGGAGGCAGAGGCAGGCAGATCTCTGTGAGTTCGAGGCTAGCCTGGTCTACAAGAGCTAGTTCCAGGACAGGCTCCAAAGCTACAGAGAAACCCTGTCTCAAAAAACTGAAAAAAACAAAAACAAAAAACCCAAAACACCCACTGTGATAAACACAAGAACCCCTCCAGTATGTATGTGGATTAAGAAGCTTAAGAAAAAAATGATGCTATTTATAGAGGCAACTTAGAGTGTTTTTTGCCCTCTGTATTAGACAGAAACTTGGCACATGTGTGGCAGAGACCACAGCACATTTATATGTGTGTTAAAGGATCCTGAAGACGTCCCTGCTAAACAACTAACGCGTTCCACATACATTATAAAATCCTTACACAGTATATATTTGTAGCCACTGGTGGACGATTCTTCGCCTTGTTTCAATAGCTCATAGCAGAATCAGGAGTCTTGTTTTTGTCCATTTGACTCACTTTCAACTAGAAGGTTTGTGGTTCCTGGCAGTCTTCTCCTACCTCTTGTCAAGCTGAAATAGATAACTTCTCCCTTTGTTTGATCTTAGCATTTGTGATGGATAAATAATTGATCAACATAGGGATTCTGGCAATATATTTAGCTTCTGCTCAGCACTATACTATTTTTAAATGTCCTCAGGCATCAACTCAGAATGACATCCAAAGGCTGTCAGCTGCAGACACAGTGACAAGTGACAGGCCTGCATTAGGATCATGAGATGTGAAACACCATGGGAGCAATGACAGGTGTCAGTTTCCCTGCTGCCTAAAGAATCCGTCTACCTTGTGTTTTATAAAAACCCTGTAAACGTGTCTCTCATAAAACCATAATCTCTTTGAGGGCAGAATCCTTCCAGTCTCAACAGAACCCGACTTGGAACAGAAACTTCAAAAACAAATGGATATATATATATACATATATATATATATATGATTTAAATATTTAAATTTTTATTGTGGGGCACCTGAGTTCAAATCCTCAGGACCCACATAAAGCAAAGAGTGGTAGTACTCATTAGTAATCCTATGGAGAGATAGGGGCCTGAGACAGAAGAATCCCGCACGCATGGTATACACAGCAGTGAAGAACCAGAGACCCTGGCTCAAGACAGTGATGATGGTGAACACCAACACCACAGATGTAGCACACTTAATAAAAACTCAGACAGAAATTGGGGTTCAACCTGAAGGTCAGAAAAGCAAAACAGTTAGCCATTGGCTCTTACCTCGACCTCAGTCTGAAATGGCGATCCAGGAATCTCAGAATGAGACTGTATGTGAGAGCGGTCTCCTCCCATTTTATAATCCTTTCTAGGGCTAGAATTAAAAGCATGCACCACTACTGCCTGTTTTCTATGGCAAACTAGTGTGGCTACTGGGATTTAAAATGTGTGCCATCACTGCCTGGTCTATAAGGCTGACCACTGGGGTTGTTTTACTTTCTGAACTTCAGGCAAGCTTTATTTATTAAAATACAAATGAAATGTCACTGTAGAGGTTGTCATTGATTGACCTCTACACGTGCACAAGGGCACAGGGGCTGAACTCTCACACACAAACATGTGCACAAATGCATATACTAGGCCTGCATATAGACATGAGTTAAATAATACATACATATATACATACATACATGCATACATAAGATTTTATTGTGCTCTGGATGTAGAGATGCACTGCCTGTAATTCCTGTGCAACAATATCAAAGTCAGGGTTATCCAAGGCTATAATGAGTTCAAAGTTAGCTTGGGTTACATGAGACCCTATCCTATACTCCTCCCCCCAAAGTAAATAAAATTAAATTAAAACAGCAAACCAAATTGGGATAAAATTATTTAACATGATTGTATAAAGTAATATATAATGTAAATAAAATGTAATGTAAAATTAATATAATATAAATATACTATTCAGCATTAACTATTGGGACAACAGTACACAGACACTCTTTGGAATTTACCTTGCATAATTGAGAACTGATACTTATTAATTAATAACTTTGTGTTTTACTTACATCCAGCCCTTGACAGCCACCAGGCTATTTTGATTTTTTGAGTATTTTTGATACCTCATCTTTATATCAGTTACTTGCTTGTTGCTATGAAAAAACACCTGACAAAAGGAACTGAAGGAAGGGTTTATTCAGACTTAGGGTTCCAGAGCCCCACCAATTATGGTAGAGAAAGAAAAGTGATGCGTGCTTCAGGGAACTGGCCAGTTTGTATCCAAAGTCAGGAAGCAGGGAGAAATGGATGCTGGTGCTTGATGCATTTTGCCCTTTTTATTCAGTTCAGGACCCTCACTTGTGAAATAGTGCCACCCAAATTCCTGGTGGGTCTTCACACTTTAATTAACATAACCTAGACAATCCCTACTGTTATTCCTAGAAGCCAACAGAGCAGGCTCTTGTTGTGTAGTTCCAGTGGACAACCACAAGCAATACCAACAGCTTATGTTGTTTTGGGTGCATCTGGTCCCTCCGCAACCAATAGCTCACAGAGAGGGATCCCACATCCTGGCATTGAGATTTTCAGGTGACAGCACTTCTTCTGAAGACTTTACTTTGTAACATTTAGATTTCTACATAAAGGCACCCACTGCAGAATGAGTCATCAATGATGTCCGGCACACACAGTGTGTACCATGAGGCCCAGAGGTGGGGAAAACCATATCATCAAGGTCTGCCTGAGTTCCCTGCTACAGAAGCACAACGAAAGTGCCTATCGATAACTCAGGACATAGCCCACTGTTAGTTCAGGCCGGGCTGGGTTTATGAAAGAATACGTGAAACTCTTCATTCAGAAGGTTAGTTTTACTCAGTCCCTACTCAGGGCAGAACTGGAACAAAACTAAGAATAGCATAAGTCAGAGATGCCTCTGCTGCCTGTTCCCCAGGAGACAATGCAGCCCCCTTTACAAGAACCTCCTCTCCCCAAGAGTAATACAGCCTCTTTTACAGCACACTCCACAGGTACGTCTGGTACACTCAGGGTTTTATCACACAGATTTCTAACATGAGCCCATTCAAGACCTGTACCTGGCTTCCTTACTAAGGGACTGTGCCCTGGTCACACTCCTGGTGCCCTGCTGAGGCTTGACTGGGCCTAGGTATTCTTCACAGAGGCCACACTGAACCCTCTGAGGCCAAGTGTGCAGGGCCTTAGCCACTGTTCTGTTGCTGTGAAGACACCATGACCATGGCAACTCTTAGAAAAGAAAGCATTTAATTGGGGCTGGCTTACAGTTTCACAGGTTTAGTCCATGG